ATGAAATAACGTTTAATATTAAGAACTGCTCAAATAACTAAAATTAAAACTGAAATAAAAATCAATTAAAGCTAAATAGAAATATCAGAAAAAAAATATATAAAAAAATATTCATAATACATTGGCTGACCACATTTTCGAATATTCTTTGGGTGTAGAATACTTAATAATATAAAACAATAAAATAAAATAACTGGTTTTAGATGGGACCCTTTTCAGCTGGCCAGGATGGGAGACCAGCTAAATCCTGAGTTTTTCCCCCAACAGTGTATGAAGTCTTTAAATTATTCCTACATAGGCAGCTCACAATAGACTACTTCCAATCAGACTATACTATAAAGAACCTTAATGGGCTCCTCTTGTCTCAGGGGCTGAAAAAAAACACCACCATTTGTCTCCAGCTTGCAATACATCAACCTTTATTTGAAGAGCATTTTGTCTCTGAGGTTTTTGCGATTACTTTCACAGCTAGAAAGCCTGAAAGTGGACATAATATCTTAACATCCTTCACAAGCCCATTGTCTACCCTGTTCGCTCATGGAACAAAGGACGCTGAGACAAAGACGATGCCAGAGAGAAAGAAAAGATATTGTTTGTGTGCGAATGCTCTCTTCAGTGCAGAATTTTCAGTGCTATGTCTGTGGGTTGGTGGCTATTGTGGAGTATTGTGTGTGTGAGTGTGTGTGTGTGTGTGAGTGTTAAGAGGATGGGCGAGCTGACTGATTAGAGTGCAAGGTCATTGTGTTATAGCGCAGCACTCCAGCCATCTCTGCGAACATACACACACACACACACTGTTTAATCACAGCCCAAAATGGCATCCAAGGGGCAACCCTCTCCTGGGGCTAGAAGCTTTCATGTGTGTGCGTTTCTTTCACATTATCTCATGTATTGAGGAAGTGGGTGGGAGTGAGGGATGATAAGTGGTTAAAAAAGCACGACCAGGACCCAAGGGGGGAAAAGACAGAGAAATATGAAGCAGCTGCGGTGAACAGCATTAAAGCTCCTAATGGCGTTCACTCAGTCAGAGTGATTTGTGGCAATGTCTTCATTCACGTCAAACATGGATGGAGTCAGGAGCATTTCATTTTTACAGTTCAGGGACAGCAAACAACATGTCAATGTGCCAAATCATTAGGATTCTCCTTGATAGTGAAGTCAACAATGAATCAAAATGGGCCCAATTTACTTTCTTAATGCATGTTCCTGCTGATTGATCAGCGCATGTTATTCCAAAGAAAAATAATGCTATTTTTTGTAATCTTTTATCAAAATGTAACAACCCCCTCTGTGGAACCACTTTATTACACATAGGCCATGCAGAGTATTAAATTAGTCAAATAGCTATGAAGTCTTTCTATCGTTTGGGTCAGTATAATTTTTTATTAATTAATTAATAATTCAGTATTAATCAAAGATGCATTACATTGATCAAAAGTGATAATAAAGACATTACAGCAGATTTCTATTTAAAAAATGCTGCTCTTTTGAACTTTCTATCAAAGAATCCTGGAAAAAATGTATAATGGTTCCCACATAAATATTAGGCAGCACAAATGTTTTGAACATTGGTAATAAGAAATGTTTCTTGAGCTGCAAATCAACATATTAGAACTGTGGAGTAATGGCTGCTGAAAATTCAGCTTTGCATCAAAGGAATACATCACATTTGATTAAAATAGAAAACTGTCTTTTTATTGTAATATTTCATAATATCACAGATTTTACTGTATGTGGTAAAGTAAGTATTCTTTCAAAAATATTAAACAATTTTACTGAACCCAAACTTTTGAATGGTAGTACATTTTATGCAGTAATTGGTAACACTTTAGTATAGAGACCAATTCTCACTATTAACTAGTTGCTTATTAGCATGCCTATTATTAACATATTGGCTGTTTATTAGTACTTATAAAGCATATATTCTGCATGACCCAATCCTTTAATCCTACCCAATACCTAAACTTAACAACTACCTTATTAATTATTAATGAGCAGCAAATTAGGAGTTTATTGAGGAAAAAGTCGTAGTTAATGGTTTGTTAATAGTGAGAATTGGAGCTTAAAATAAAGTGTGACCCAGCAATTTGATGTTTGCTAACATTAATTTATTAAAGGTTACAGTATTATTAGCATATAAACTCTGAAATACAGTACATCACATCACATCACACTGCAAAATGATTTTCTTACTTAGTATTTTTGTCTTGTTTTCCATTACAAATATCTAAACATTCTTAAATCAAGATACATTTTCTTTAAAAGCAAAATGACTTAAGATATTAAGCCCTGTTTTCTGAACAAATGTATCAAAATTTTGTTACTTTTTGCTTTGAAACTAAAAAACATCTGCCAAAAAGGCAAAAAAAAAAAAAAAATCTTGTTTTCCCTTTGACTTGAGATTATTTTTCTTACCCCACTGGCATATATTTTTTCTTGTTTTAAGCCAAAAAAAACGTATAAAATTTCTATAAACTTTACAGAAAACAAGACTTAATATCTTAAGTCATTTTGCTTTTCAAGAAAATGTATCCTGATTCAAAAAGTATTTAGATATTTGTACTAGAAAACAAGTCAAGAATACTTAGTAAGAAAATCATGTTTTGCAGTGCAAACGGGCTGTGAATGATGTTTCATGTTGACGTTAAAATCCAGAAATGGGATAATAACGAAATTAAAAATCATAGATAGTAAGTACAGGTACAGCTAGACAACCAAAGCTTGACTAAACTATAATAAACTAAGGCAATCAGATAAAAACAAGCTCATAAAATCTTAAAAGTCCAAAATATTCTTCACAACCTCATTAAGCAATCTAAAAAAGCATGAATTCAGATAGAAGAGACAGTCTGAGCATCATTATTCAGTCTCTATAGTCTTAATTATCACTACAACACACTGTCTGCACTTGATCCCTATATTCCCACATTCGCCGCTGCTGCTCCTGTGACCATTAAGAAGGTGGAGATTTTAGCTTTGCAGTGTTGAACTGCAGTGCAGACAGAACCAATTGTAGTATCCGCCTCAATTATAACCTGAATTAATGACGACAGGAACTGCTGTGGGTGCAATTCAGACGGCCCGGACTGGAACACTTCACTGGTGTGTTTGAGCGAGCGTGTGTGCGAATGAGATTCTGGGTCGGGCATCGTTCCAGGAGTGAGTGAGTGACTGAGAGAAAGGGATAATTGACTTGGACAGGCTTGACACTTAGTATGCCCCTGGGCGAGAGGGGCACGGAGGGGGAAAGTATCACACAGCATCCCTGGGATTCGAATTGTTACAGATAGTTTTTAGGAAGCTGCAATGTATCATTAACTCAGAAAAGAGTAATGAAGCGCAGGAAACCATCATGATGCTTCCAGAAGCCTGTTGATGTCTATTTCCCCTCAGCCAATGAGGTTTCACAAATCTAATGTGTCCTTGTGAACTAACATTGACATTATATGGTCAAAAAAGTGTGCGGACAACCCTGTCTAATGATTTTCAGAAAAACTAAGTCAAAAACAAAACAAAAACTATAATTTCGTTTGGAATTTCTGTGTCATCCGGTGATGGATGACAGACCTCCGTTACGGATGAATGCTTCAGACTGACCTTTCCTTCTGCCTTGGCTTGACAGTAACAATGATTATTGATTAGACTGATGATTAATTACCAACTGCATGTTACTGATCAACGTATATATTGATTGATGATAAGCAGAATCCTGTTTATAGCACATCTGTGCTGTTTTAAAATTTCTCAGCATCTTGCTGAGCATCTAGACTATAAGACAAAGACTATATATTTGGGTATGCATGGCCATTTATGGTCACACTTTATTTTAAGGTCCAATTCTCGCTATTAACAAACCATTAACTATGACTTTTGCCTCAATAAACTCCTAATTTGCTGCTTATTAATAGTTAGTAAGGTAGTTGTTAAGTTTAGGTATTGGGGAGGATTAGGGATGTAGAATATGGTCATGCAGAATGAGCTTTATAAGTACTAATAAACAGCCAATATGTTAAAGGGGTCATATGATG